GGTGTAGCGGTTTGGGGGGTCACCGTATCTCGCAGAGAACGTGAGTTCGATTCTCGCGTGCGGACATTACTTGCTATCCCGCACGTCACTCCATCTGTCTACCAGGACATGGTATCCCTCTCAACTCGGGTAAACACTAACACAGTCAAAGCAACCCTCCTCCTAAATGGTCGATTTTAAGGACAAGAGGGCTAATCCAGACTTCTGGGATTTCCAGAAATCTTGACCCACACCAAATGTGAACTTTGCCCTACCTATAGGAGAAGTTTGGTTTCTTTGGCGTGTGTATTTGCTTGCATTATAAAGAAAACTCTCCTTGTCTTTTAAAGAAACTGAACAAGGGGCAAACACTTTACCTCCGATTTTCTCAAAACAGCATATTTTGGGGGGATAGCCCCCTTGTGCTTTAAAGCGACCAAACGACCTAAATTGAGTCGAATTTAATTTGTCGTTAAACACTAACTTATTATAATAAAACAAACTTTTTTTTTCTTTCCAAAACAGGTCTGGGTCCGGATAATTCTGATCGACCCGGGGAGGTGATGGACAGGGACGGGTACCCTCACCAGACGCCTCGGCAAAAGAGGGTTCGAACCTCTTTCAAACACCACCAACTGCGCACGATGAAGTCGTACTTCGCCCTCAACCACAACCCAGACGCCAAAGACCTGAAGCAGCTGGCTCAGAAAACAGGGCTCTCCAAGAGAGTTTTACAGGTGAGCAACTATAATGTGTTGTTGTTGTTGTTGTTGTTGTTGTTGTTGTTGTTGTTGTTGTTCTTCTTCTTCTTCTTCTTCTTCTTCTTCTTCTTCTTCTTCTTCTTCTTCTTCGCCCCCTCGTCTTCTTTTTCACATTCCTTGAACTTGTTTCGAGTTCACCTCTGCTATCTATCGCATAGACTCATGCTCATGTTTCCCTCTGTCAAAACCTAAAATCACACAACGACAACATTAAATAAGATACGCTACTAAACAGGGAGTTTACGCAAGAAGGAATTTCCTCCACTTTTTTTCTTTTCTGTTCTGTTTTTTTCATTTCTTTCTTTCTGTCCTGTCCTTCCTTCCTTCCTTTCTGTGCCAGCACTTTCAAAGAGCTGTGTCAACAATGACGACACGGTGTAGATATTGTAAAGGCCCCTGGTTCATAATTCCCCCCTGGGTTCATAATTCCCCTCAGTTGAGCTTGACACGCCCAGCCTATGAACCACCACAAAGACGGGAGATTGTATAGGGGGAAAGTAACTCTAGCCGCCGTGGTCACTTCTTTTCTTCTCGGAGTACCTCGGGTTGCCCCCTCGCCCACTCTCCCCCCTCTCTCTC